GCCCCCCTAGAAGGGGAAGAGGTGCTGGGGAACAGGGCCCAGTACCCAGAGGCCGGTGAGCTGCTCTTCTGTGGGGCTGAGCAGAGCCGGCTGGAGTGAAGAATGAGGCGGGGGGTGGGGGGAGGGGGAGGGGTAGGCCCAGATGGGGGAACCCAGTGGAAAAGTTGGGAAGGCAGACACTGCTCCCCCCCCCCGCCCCCGCACACCTGCACGGCTCCCACCCCTGTGCAGTGAGGTGCTGCTCGCACAGGCCTCCCCTGGCTGTCTGAAGGAGCACTCCTCGTCCTTCGTCGCCTTACGTGGCAGTATTTTCCTCACAGTGCTTAACCCTGCCTGACTGACATTTGCTTGAATCATCTGAAATCAGCAATTTCATGTGGCTCAACCTAATGCCACCGATTTGTTCAGTGGTTCTCCAGCTGCCTCCGCAGCAGGAAGGTCAGCTCCATGAAGGGATGGGGGGTGGGTGGGTGGGGTCTTTATCTGCCACATTTCAGTTACATCCCCAGCACCTGGGCCAGTCCCTGGCGTGCAGTAGACCCTCAATAAACAGTGAGTGGATGGGCGCAATGCTGGGTTAAAGGTTGGGGGGGGCGGGGTGGAAACTAAGAAACAGACTCTTAACTCCAGAGAACACACTGATGGTGACCAGAGGGGAGGTGGGGGGATGGGGGTAACAGGCGATGGGGATTAAGGAGGGCGCTGGCCGTGATGAGCACCAGGTGATGTGTGGAAGTGATGGATCACTCTACTGTACACCTGCAACTAATACTGCACTCTGTTAACTAACAGGAATTTAAATGAAAACTTAAAAAATGTTTTAAAAGCGTGGCACCTGGGTGGCTCAGTGATTGAGCGTCTGCCTTCGGCTCAGGTCATGATCCCAGGGTCCTGCATCAAGCTCCTTGCAGGGAGTGTGGTCTCCCCCCCTAGTTAACAAGGCACAGGGCAGCCACCACACGCGGCACCGTCTTCCCTCTGCACTTCCCTATCTCCTCTCAATTTTGACTGTTTTGTGGAGTTTTGAAAGCCCTTAAGGAGCAGGGGAGTCTCTCAGAGCTGGAACCAGAGCTCTCTTTCCATTTTGTCCTGACGAGACCCCAGGCACATCATGCTTTCTCACTTTGTAGCGGCCTCCTGGCCAATTGTGGTGAGGATGTGAGTGGCTGGCCCTGCGCTTGGGACAGGGAGAGCTGTAGTGTTTGAAAAGTGGTCAGATTCCTGAGGCAGGTTGGAGTCTGGGTGGCCAGGGTGGAGGGCATGGGCAGCCAGCCTCGTTGTTTTGTGAGGCTTTTGTCTCTGTCCTAAGAAACCAGTCATCAGTACCCTCAAAACCCACGCCCTTGCCCTCTGATATCACTAGCAAGACAACACAACAATGGTCACCTCCCAGAGGTTGCTGGGTGCTGGACTGCCTACTTGGTAGTTAAAAGTGCAGATTCTGGAGCAGGACAACAGGCTGGAAAATCACATCCACCAACTTCTTGGTCTCGTGTGACTTTGGGCAAATCACCTAACACCTCTGGGCTACGGTCTCTCCATCTGTCCTAGGGGAACAATAGCCTCCGGACAAAACAAAGCAGCTCTGACATCCCGGAGCTGCCTGGCTCTCTCAGCCAGGCCTTGGTGTTGCTCAGAGCTGGCCTGGCACAGCTCCCCCTTGGTGTGCTCCTGTTGCACACAGATAAGGCCATCTGTGACCGTGATAGGTCAAGATAAAAACAAGACCATCCCATAATCACGTCTGAAAACAGACAAAACATGAATCTTGTCCAGACCACAAAAATGACCAATCATCCCCTGCAGAGCTAATCTGAGTAAGGGCTGCTTCTCTACCAGTTACGGCTTCTCCTTTCTCCAGCTGGCCCGGCCCTCCTTCTAGGTAAGAGTTAAGATACCCAGCCCGGCCTTGCCTCTACTTCCTGACAGCATCTAATCCAGATCAAGATCTTGCTTCCTTAAACCCTTCGCCGATCACCTAACAAATGCAGACATTAGAGCAAGTCCTTTCTAGCACCGTTACCAAGACGCCTGTGGATCCCCCTCATGCACATTCCTGGCTGCAAGGAACAATGAATCCAGCTTGTTCACTCACAGGTGTGCTTCACGTTACCTTTGGCTGGAGGCACTGACAGGCCCTACCTTGTGGGGTTGTTGCTGTACTGCCCTAGGGATGACACATTCCCAGGACTCTTTAGTTACATCTGCCCTGCTTTCCTATCACTTCCACTTTACAAAGGTGTCACTGAGACTTCTGCAGAGAAGGGCAGTAGCTTTGTTCAGGGCCACACAGCGAGTGGTGCAGAGTCAGGGTGGCAACTCGGGCCCCCTTCCAAAGTTGGTTTCCTAACCCTCTTGCCTCCACCTTGCCTCCAGGGCAGAAGCCAACATGACAACATTGGGCCAGCATCTGGGAGGAGAAGAGCAGAGGGTCTTGGAGCTGAAAGAGAAGCCTGGGGCTACAGGAGGGGCACACCTAGGACGTCCTCAGGGACCCCCTATGCTTCCCCTCCCAACCGTGACTTCCCCGACTGGATCCTCCAAGGGATTCTTCTCTGAGGATGTGTGGCTTCTGAGTAAACACAGGACCAGCTGAGGCCCGAGAAGGCGGGGGTCAGTGTCATTGGACTGAGGCCTGAGTCACTTCCTGACCATTGCTTAAGAGGCACCCAGCGCCACAGCCTGAGTGGCCAGCTCATGCCCTCACAGGACTCGGGCAGGTGCACTTCCCTGGTATTCCTCAGCTTTCTGGGCTCACCTCTGCCCATGCTCAGGTTATTGAGACATACGACAAAGATGCAGAAGCCCTGTCCCTGCCTTGGGGAACTGGATATTCAACCCGAGGTCTCTGGACCATTCTATCTTGCCTTGCACCTGGTCCTGAACTCCGGCTCCCAGGACCTCACCCCAGCTTCAGAATCAGGATGCCTTCCCCTGGCACCACCAACCCCAAAGGTCCAAATCTCCTGCAGCCCTTGCAGGCACATAGCCCCTTCCCTTTTCCTCCCACAGGGTCCTAGGATCAGAGTAGAGGATGGGGCAGGGAAGATGCCAGATGCCCTAGTGTAGGATGTGCAGAGGGAGACATGGTTTGATCAGTAGACATGTCCTCATGATGCGAGGAAGGGGGCTGGTTTGAAATACAGACCATTTCCTTTAGGAATTAAGACCTTTTAATCCAGAGACATCCCATAGGCTTGCAGCTGAGAACACAGCCTCTAGAGCCAGGCTATGCTTCCATCTTTAACCCGCTCTGCCCTTTAGCAGCTGTGCAACTTGCAGCAAGTTACTTAACCTCTCCCTACCTCAGGTTCCTCATTTCTAAAATGAGGATAATAATAGTACTGACTCATAGATCTCTCACCAGGAGTAAGGGAGTTGTATATGTAAAACACTTGGAATAATGACTGGCACATGGCAAACACAAGTGTTCAGTAAATAGTTTGCCACTTTGAATGGGCCGACTCCTCCATTCATTCTCAATACAGTTTTTGACATCCTACTGTGTGCCAGATATGAATAAGGCAGGGTCCCGGAATGTGATGCCTGCTGGGCATTTCTGTGGGATCCCTGCACCGCCCCCGTCCTGCAGTAGTCTCCAGACTGTGCCTGATACTGAACGACGCTGGGACTGACCACGGCCCAGGGCTTGGGCCACATGCAAGTTCCTTGCCTTCAAGATCTCTTCTCTCCCTTTGATTAAGTGAAGTGAATGGTCCCACCCCTTCTACCACCCCTTCCCTGGGCCAGTGAAGGATCAGATAGGGCAGACCAGGCATGAGGACCTCTTGTGGCCATTCTCTGTCCCACCCCCACCCCCCTTTCTGGGAGGCCTCCTGTGATTTAATATGAGCACAGAATCAGCCACCAGACACAGGTGGCAGAAGGCCCTGGCACGTCATTGCCCTCAGGGGGCATTAGGATGCCAGCAAAAAAAAAAAACGTTCAAAATTGGAAATTTGGGCCTGGACTGGAAAGTTGGTGCTATAGAATCACTGTTGGTAATTTTTGATGTAAAAATGACATTGTGGTTATGTCTTAAAGGCAGTCCTTTGCTTTTAGAGACGAAAAATATTTATGGATGAAATTATATGATGCCTGGTGTTGCTTCAAAATGATGGAAACAAAACTGGCTGAGAGTAGGGACGCCTGGGTGGCTCAGCGGGTGAGCGGCTGCCTTAGGCTTGGGATGTGATCCCGAGGTCCGAGGTGGAGTCCCGCGTAGGCTCCCTGCACGGAGCCTGCTTCTCGCTCTGCCTGTGTCTCTGCCTCTCCTCTGTGTCTCTCTCATGAAGAAAGAAAGAAATTTAAAAACAAAAACAAAAAACAAAAAACAAAAAACATCAGCTAAGGGTTGATAAAACTGTTGAAGCTGCGGGGCTGGGGTCACGATCGCCAGAAAGTGAGGTCCTGAGAGTCTCTGAGCCCGGAGCGGGTTCGAAATGCACAATCTTGGCTCCGCCCCAGATCAACTGGGCCAGAGTCTGCATTCTTTTTTTTTTTTTTTTTTTTTTTTAAGATTTTATTTATTTATTCAAGAGAGACACAAAGAGAGGCAGAGACTCAGGCCGAGGGAGAAGCAGGCTCCCTGCAGGGCGCCCGACGTGGGACTGGATCCGGGATCCCGCCCCGGGCCGAAGGCGGCGCTAAACCGCGGAGCCACCCCGGGAGCCACCCCGGGACCCCCCCAGGGACCCCCCCAGGGATCCCCCCAGTCTGCTTTCTAAGCAAACACAAGTCCCAGGGGATTCAGGGCACATTCAAACGTGGGAATCACCGGTCTCGTCTGTCTACTTTCGTACCTTTTCGAAACTTGTCATAATCAAAAGTTGTGGGGTTTTGTTCTCCAAAATCGTCTCCACCAGCTCCACCACCAACCCCGCGCAGATCCCCCCGCCCCCGCGTCTCGGGCCGGGGCCCCGGGAGCCCTGTCTCCCCGCCTCCGCCGCCGCCGGAGCCCCCCGGGGCTCCCCAGCACCCGCTCCCGCCGGGCTGCTCACCTGCCGGCCGGGCTCCGGCGGGGCCCCACGCGCGGGGGCTGTGGGCAGGTCCGGCGTGGCCGCGCCCCGCGCACCTGGGCGAGCCGGCAGGTGGGACGCGCCGAGGGCCCGGGCCCCGCCCCCGCGCGGGGGAGGAGCGGGCGGCGGGCGGCGGGCGGCACCGGTGCAGGGAGCCGGCGGGCGGCGATCGCAGGCGCCGCGCTGGGGCCGCCGACGTCGGGCGCCCGGGATGAGCTTCACCCGGAAAAAGGGCTTCTACAGGCAGGACGTCAACAAGACCGCCTGGGAGCTGCCCAAGACCTACGTGTCGCCGACGCACGTAGGCAGCGGGGCCTATGGCGCCGTGTGGTGAGACCCCGGGCGCGGGGGCGCGGGGGCGCGGGGGCGGGTGGAGCCTCCCGACGCGCCGGCCGGCGCCCCCCTTCCCGGACCCGCCTCGGGGCGCCCCCGCCCCCGCTGGGCGCTCGGGGCCGCGCGCGCCACCTCGAGGGGGGCCAGGCCCAGGGTCCTGCGGGGCTGTTCCAGCGGCGCTTGGGGCTGGGAGGAGGCCGCGGGCCTCAGGCTGGGGCAGAGGCTGGCCTCGGCCACTCCAGGCGCCACCTCACTGTTCTCGCCGGCTTTGTGGGGTCTCTGGGGCCCCCCAGACTGCGGGTCTGCGTCCCCAGCGCTCGAATCCCACAAGGGACCCCAGAGTTCACCCGGGTTACAGGTGGGTACACCGAGACCCAAAGAGGGAGAAGTGCGACTTGCCAAGGTGCAACGAGTGAGCTTCCCTCCGGGCTCTGGATCCGGTTCATGAAGCTGGGTCTGCCCCGGCGCGGTGCACCCCTCAGTCACTGCCGCCCCTGAGGGCACTGGGGGCTGCTCCCTCACCTTGCAGCTCGTGGGCTGCCTTCTGCGCAGCCCAGCCTGCTGGCCAGGAGGGATTTTGGTGAGGATGGCCTGGGCTCCCCGCAGTGGCCTGGGAGCTGCCATCCAGGTTGTGGTGTGGGGGCTGCTGGCGGGGAAAGAAAGCCACAGCCCCCCGGACCTCTGCCCGTGCCCTGCAGCTGTGCCATCGACAAGCGGTCAGGGGAGAAGGTGGCCATCAAGAAGCTGAGCCGGCCCTTCCAGTCTGAGATCTTTGCCAAACGTGCCTACCGAGAGCTGCAGCTGCTGAAGCACATGCAGCATGAAAACGTAGGCTGGGCCTGGGGGACCGGCGGGTGGGGGCGGGTGGGGGCGGGGCCCCCCAAGCATCCTGACTAGGTGCACCCTTCCTCCCCCACTTTTGAGTGTAGGGGAGATGGCAAGAGGGCCGTGAGAGTACAGATGGCTCAGGAGGGGAACAGGCACAGGCGAAGGGGAATCTCCTCCCTGCCCCTCCCACCCCTGTTCCTCACTTCATTAAAATGAGGTGCCAGGACCTGCCCTGCCTACTTCCAGGAAGGGTGCAAAACGTGTTTTTGGCAGTGGAGCAAAATGAACTTTGTGAGGTGCAAACTTACTGTTTCACATTACGAGGAAATGCACACGGAGGAACCTCGCAGTTCGTTCTAGCTCTCAGAGCTAGGGACCCAGCATCCTGGTTACTGTGGCTTCCACACATGGCTCTGCTAACGACAACCAGGGTTCCTTGAGCCCTCTATGTGCCAAGTGCTGTCCTCGGAGCTTTGCGTAAACTAACTTGTAAATCCTCACAATATCACGGGAGTGGAGTACTATTACTTCCATGTACAGGAGGGGAAACTGAGGCACAGAAAGACTAATGGGTTATATGGTTAGTCAGTGGCAGAGCTGAGATGTGAACCTAGGCAGCCTGGCACCAGGCCTTAGTGCATAACCACTGGAGATCCCGTCTGTTAGAAACCCCTGGGAAGACTAGCGACCCAGGGCTGGGCTTAACATCTGGGCTTTGCTCCAGGATACGTAGATTGGTAAAATAATGATTCCAAAATACGGTAGGCAAGTAGGAAGCCCTGTCCCTCTTCAGCAAACCCCTCCCCATAGCCCCCCGCCCCCCACCAGGGTGACATTGCCCCTGGCTCCGAACCAGGCCTTGTTCCCTCCTTGATTCCCTTCACCACTTGTGGTTCCCTGCTTGAGTGGAGGGTGAATTTGCAGGCCTGCCTTGAACCCCAGACTTGGGGGTGGTAGACGCAGGGATGGCCCCCTCCCCTTCTCCCCAGCCTGACATTCCATCACTGTGCCCTGCAAGCTCCCTCCCGGTTAAGGGGATTCCTCTTCTGCCTCTGCCCTTTTCTCTGCTCCCCAGAAGGCTGGGAACCTACCTCCTGCCGGGATGGTTATTCAGAGAGGGTGGGTGGTGGTGGGTGCAGCTGGGGCTGCAAGGGACAGGGGGAGAGGGCTGTGGTGCTGCCCAGCCTCACTGGCAACCTTCTCTCCCAGGTCATCGGGCTCCTGGATGTCTTCACCCCAGCCTCCTCCCTGCGCAGCTTCCATGACTTGTGAGTCGGGCTGCACTGGGTTCCAGGGCGTTCCCAGGCCTCCCTTGCTGCTCTGCTCCGGAGCCAGCGGGGCGAGCCCAGACTCTCTCTCTGGGCAGGGTCTCCTGTTCCGGCTGTACCCGCCCCCCATGAGTGATGCTCTCTGGAGATTCTTTCAGCTGGGGATGGAGAGAACGGCAGGCAGGCAGGGGGGCTTTGTGGGGTGCTTGCCTGACCAGAACTGTCTGTTCAGCTGCTGCACTTAACTGCCCTCTGTCATCCCAGCCAGGACCTCACTGGCAGTCCTCGCAGCGTCTGCACCAACTTACCTCGTCAACTCTGCAGGGTCCCCGGTGTGGGTCTGGACCTTGGGGCTCTTCCTGGCAGGAAGCAAGGATCAGGAAGTCCCGGCCACCTCTGGCTGGTGGGGTATTTGACTGAGTCACACAGAACCAGAAATCAATAGTTGATTATAGTTGTTAAATGCATGGCTTTGCTCCCCAAGTGCCTGGTCTTAAAACGTAGGAAACCTTTGGGAAGATGGATTCGTTTTCCTTTTGTTCCCCCATCCCTATTTCAGATGCAGCTGAAGGTCCCTGCTTAGGATGCTTTTGTTTTAAATTTAATGGGGTGATTTTGAAGGAAGGTTGTTTTTTTTTTCCCCTCTAAAGCCAGCCATGGGGAATTAATTTATTTTTATTTTTTTTTTAAAGATTTTATTTATTTGTTCATGAGAGACACAGAGAGGTAGAGAGGCAGAGACACAGGCAGAGGGAGAAGCAGGCTCCATTCAGGGAGCCCGACATGGGACTCGATCCCAGGACTCCAGGATCACCCACTCCCTGGGTGGAAGGGAGGTGCTAAACCGCTCAGCCACCCAGGGAGCCCCAGCATTGGGAATTTAAAGTGGACCAGCCCCCCCGGCCCCAGGCAGGCTGGGGGTACAGCTTCTAAATGCATAGTCACAGTAGTGTGGTTGGTGCTGGGGACTGCCTGCTGCCTCGGGGGGCTCAGCCCCCAAAGGATGAGGAGGGGTTTGCTGGAGGTAAAGTTGCGGGAAGCATCTCAGGTAGAAGGAACTGTGTGGACAAAGGAAAGGCCACGGTGCATGAGCCTGGACTACTAGGGGAATATTGGTGGGTTCAATGTGGCTAGTGAAGACCAACGGCTGGTTTGGTCATTGGAAGAGTCCAGACTTAATCCACAGGCAGCCTTGAGTCCATGGTGGTTTCGAACATTGGGGTGATGTGGACAGATTAGATTTGGGGGTATACTTTGGCAGGAGGGAAAAAGCAGGGAGCAGCTCTAGGAGCAGAGAAAGCCTGGTGAGTGGTGTCCCAGACCCAGACCTTGAGCTAACTAAGGCAGGGGTGATGGGAGGCCGAGAGCAGACTTGAGGCCCATCAGGAGATAGGACCATCTAAAGGTCGTATCTGTTGGGAGATGCAGTGGCCAGGAGAGGGGGCGTAGGTCAGGAAGCCAGGCTCGGGCCTGGAATACAAGGTAGAGGAAGAACAGATCTTGGGAGGCACATAACAAATTCCATTTGGGACACGCCTTTTGAGGAGCTTATCAATGTTGAGGTGTTTAATCAGCAGTTGCAAATAAATGTGGAGCTCCGGGGGATCTGAGCTCAGGTGGAACATGATGTGCTGCTGCTAAGAGGTCAACGGAGAATCTTGAGGGAGTGTCCAATTTTGCTAGAGGTCCCATAGGAAGCAAGGGAGGCACGGGTGTGTATATTGGGCAGCCCTCAGTGACCTTGATCCGAGCAGTTTGAAGGGGTGGGAGCAGGCATCGGGTTGTCAGGGGATTGGAAGTTAAGGCAGTGCGTTGGGAGGTATGGACTACTCTCTCTAGAAGTTCGGTTGGGGAGGGAAAGAGGTAAAAGGGGTGGTTATTCAAACAAACAAGGCAAGGCAGTTCAAGCACAGCAACACTTCAGCAAATTTGTCAGCAGAGAAGAAGGAACCAGGGTCCATGTGGAGGTGAAGGACGACACTGGGGAGGGCTGTGCATGGAGCAGGGTCCCCGTGGGGGAGAGGGGATGATCAGAGAGAAGAAAGCTTCAGAAAATCACAGGTGTGGGGCGCCCAGGTGGCTCAGTGGGTTAAGCGTCTGCCTTCGCCCAGGTCATGATCCCTGGTCCTGGGGTTGAGTCACTAGAAGTCAGTCTTGCTCTCTGCTCAGCGGGGAGGCTGCTTTCCCCTCTCCCTAGTGCTCTCTCTCCAGCGTGTTCTCTGTCTCTCTCTCTCTCTCTCTCTCTCTCTCTCAAGTAAATAAATAAAATCTTAAAAAAAAAAAAAAAAGGAAATCACAGCCTCATATAGACGACCTCCACCATATCCTTTCTTTTTTCTTTTTTGGTAAATAGTTCTTTCTAAGTCTATTGTCTTTTGTTCTGGACTTTGCTATTACTACTTTGGGGAACAGCTATATTTTGCTGACCTTGACCTGTTTTGCAATCCCTTCGGAGAGTGCAGTGGCTCAGCTACTCCTTCCTCCTGCCCTCCTGGAAGTTGTTTGATTACCGCCTTCTCGGAAGGGCAGACGTTCTTCGCTGTTTGCGGAGCTCTCCCAGTCTGGGCATGACCCTCTGGGGGAGAAAACGTTTGGACGGAAGCAGAAGGAAATGCTGGCAGGTGTTTCTAAGTCACAGCTCCAGCTTT